TGTTCTACAGGGGTGAAGACAGGTACGATGTTCAGCAGGGCTAGTTACAGGTGTGATGTTCTGCAGGGCTTAAAGAGGGAACACAGGTGTGATTTTCTGCAGGGCTAGAGACAGGTGTGAGGCTCTGCCAGGGTGAAGACAGGTGTGATGGTCTGCAGGGTTGGGAGAGAGAAGAAAGTTGTGTTGCTGTGCAGGGCTGGGAGAAGGGAGACAAGTGTGATGTTCTGCGGGCTGGAGACAGGTGTAATGTTCTGTAAGGCAGAAAGAGGGGAGACAGATGTGATGTTCTGCAGGACAGGGAGAGAGGAGACAGGTGTGATGTTCTGCAGGGCTGGAGACAGGTGTGGTGTTCTGCAGGGTTGAAGACAGGTGTGATGTTCTGCAGGGGTGAAGACAGGTGTGATGTGGCCTTTTAATTCTCAATGAACTACCATGGTGCTGTTGAGCAATGTAGTAGTTCATTGATTCTTCCTGTCAGTGTCAAACTGCCTGCCCATACATCATACAGCATACACTGATAGTCTGCAGGAGACCCGCATGGCAACAGGTGATCAGCTGGTGTAATGCTGTCTGGGTTCCTAAAACAAAAATAGTAAATGCAATTTTTTTTACCTGCAAAAAATGTGCATTTATTATTTTTTGTTAAAAAGTGAAGTTATCGTTTACCCCCCCCCCCCCCAATGTTTGCAGGGGGGTCATGTGTATGGGGCAGTGTTTACACAGAAGGGGCAATGTGTACCAGTGGGAGGTAGGGGGCAATGTGTGCAGGGGACTGGGGTGGGAGGATTTGTGCAGAGGAGAGCAGTGTGGACAGGGGGCAATGTTTGCAGAGGAAATGGGGGGCAGTGTGCAGAGGGTGCACAGCGTGTAGGAAAGGACAGTGTGCAGGGGAAATGGGGACTGTGTGTATAGTTGGTGAATTTAATTTGGGCTGAATCTCAGGTTTCTTCATTGCTACTCTTCAGAATCTATGTTGTATTAAGCCATGCCCAATATTCATTTTAATCCAACCGTGCCCGAGAAGACAGTGGGGTGGGGGGCAGCAAAATGCACCTTCAACTGTGAAGACAAAAATCCTTGCACTGGCCCTACCTCTAGCAACCAGTCAGTGAACATTAGTGATCTGCTGTAACCTCTAGCAACCAATCAGTGAGCTATATTGAGTTGCTGTAACCACTAGCAACCAATCAGTGAGCTGTAAAGATGTGCTGTAACTTCTAGCAACCAATCAGTGAGTGGTAATGATGTGCTGTAACCTCTAGCAACCAATTAGTGAGCAGGAATGATGTGATGTATCCTATAGCAACCAATCAGTGAGTGGTAATGATGTGCTGTAACTTCTAGCAACCAATCAGTGAGCGATTTTGATTGATAGCCTATAGTAACCTCTAGCAACCAAGCGATTTTGGTGAGCAGTAATGATGTGCAGTAATGTCTAGCAACCAATCAGTGAGTGGTAACAATATGATGTAATCTTTAGCAACCAGTCAGTGAGCCTGGACAAATCAGTGAGTGTGGACCAGTTCTTTATATTTACATTATTAAATTTTTTGAGACAAGTCTATGTGTGTATGCTTGTTATTTGGGATGTTGAGATGGAGAGCAAAATTGCATGGCGGGAGGGGGGCAAGAATATGTTTGCCCAAAGTCCAATCAATATTGAAGATGGCCCTGCCTATTCCCATCAACCTAAATTTATCCAGCAAACAGAAGGGTAAAAAGAAGGAGATAGGAAATATAGAGATAGAAACGGGTATATATGGAGAAATTCATAAGTAGGGGAGTAGGATGGGGGTAGCACCCTCCAGTACTGGACACGTGTGGAGATAGCAGCCTTTTTTATCACATAGATATAGCATCCATACACCACACATCACCCGTAACAACCAATATCTATATAAATGGGAGGATGTTAGAACACAGCAAAATGAACACTTGTGAAGACGGGAAAAGAAAAGTCATCATGTTCATATGAGAAAATGCAAATTTGCAGCAAATATACTGTATTACAGGTAGAAAAGCTTGGATTTTAAATACCCCAAGATGTTTAATGATTCTGCGTGGTCATGTGACCATGTGTTTAAACTGCTTATAGAATTCTCTGGGTTGTAGACTATAAGGCGTGCTGCAAGAAGCTCCAGGGCTGAATTGACCTTTACTTCCATATAAAAGGTAAAATACATCTATGTTCACATGTATGACAGGTTTATTTTAGTTACAATTTACAGCAGGACACTATACCGCTCAGGGTGATTTTTGTTATCAGATGCCAAGTATTTTAAAGGTTGAATTTATTTTTCTAAATGTCTGCCAGGTAAAAGCAGGTGATAGAGGCAAATACATTATTCCACGCAAGACATTAAATTGGAAACAGCTTCCTGCCTAATCATTTGAAGGAGAACTAAATGCTCACAAAAGAATACTTAGTTTTGTAGAGTGCTGTAAGTAAAACATGATCACATTATTATTTTGTTCCAAAACACCTTGTGCGTGTTTTTCTAACTCTATGCTGTGCACATCCTGTAGACTCTTCGGGGTTGATTAAATAAAGACAAATAGGCCGTTCACTTTCCAAGGAAAGTTGCAATTTTAAAGAGAATTTTTCCCAGAGTTTAATGAAAGTGGTGAAATTTCACTTTGCAAATAATACCCAATCATGTGCAAGGAAAATTTAAATTTTACTTGCACATGATTGAAGGATGGAAGTCGCCAGAGCTTCATGTCATTCACTAAATTCTGTAGAAACTTCCCTTGCAAAGTGCAACTTCCCTAGCAAAGTGAACAGCCTATTTGCCTATAGTACATCAACTTATTGTAGGAAATTGTATGCACTCTAATAGTAGCAGAACATCACCATTTTACTGCAATACTACAGCTGAACATGCCATAGCGCAGTGAGCTGACATTGTTGCTCACAGTTCAATTTAGGGCTGCATAGGAAAGGGAGACAAAGCTGCAGCTGTAGAAAGTGTTGTCACCCTAAAACAGGAAGTGTATGTGGAAACATGAGAACAACCTATGTGGTTTAAGTGTTTTGTCTTAGATACTTGTATGGATAGCAAAAATGAAGGTTGTCCTGCTGATCCAGTGAGTCAGTAATTAGAGCAGATCAAGACATCTGACTTTTCTCATCTGCATCCTGATTACAGATCAGTGACTCAGAAACAGCAAGGCAACTAGCATTTTCAGAAGGGCAGCAGTGCCAGGCCCCATTTTGATTTACATTAAGGCAAATCTGTGCTGAGAAAAATATACAGGCTGCCTTTGATTCTGTCCTTATTAAAAATTTTACCTGCATGTCTGTCTCTGCCATCTATGCTTTGAGCCACAGATCTGGAACAAAAATGTATCTCTGCAAAGTATATATTTATATATATAATAATATAAAATATTATATACGTTTATATTTCAAGTCATTTATTATTGTTATCGATAACATAACAAACATATTATACATACCTGCTTTGTGCAATGGTACTGAACACAATGGTACAGAGCTGCCCTGAACCTCTTATTCTGGGGTCCCCTGCCAGCGCTCTTGGCTTCTCCATGTGCCATCATAGGAAGCCGCTTCCTATGGTGAAAACACATGCAGACTTGCTCCTGAGCTGTGCTGTATGTGTCTATAGGCACACACAACCCCTGTTCTCTGCTCTTAAGCAGCCCATAGGTTATACAATTTTATTTCCGTCGACCATGAGTGGAAAGAAAGACTATTGCTTGATTCCCTCCCTCAGTGCTATTGTTGTCTGCCGTTGGGGAGCCATCCTGCCAGCAGAACACAATGATCACTGATGGTAGCTATCTCACTTTAAAAAAAGCCAACAGGCTGGTCCGGTGGATTGACTTCAGTGTAACCAGCCTGTCCATAGACGGATCACATATCGGTGGGTCCCTGCTGAACTGACTGTGATTCATTCCATCCTTTAGGATTTGGCATGACAGCAGCAGGAGACAATGTCTCCTGCTAGAGCCTCTCTGTCCTGTGTATGCAGGGAGAGAGGCGAAACCTGATACAGATGGGCTCAGCACTCGATCGGGGTATTTGGGGGCAATACAAATACTGGACATTTTTTACTTTAATGCAGGGAATGCATTAAGGTCAAAAAAAGTCTTGGTTTTAGAACCAATTTAAGAACAACAGATGTAAACCATTCATACTGACCCGTATGTGTAAAATAAAAATGTACACAAAAAAGAGAGGAGGCATAAACTTCTGTAACAGTCAGATTTAGGTGTAATTTGTTGTACAAAATTCACTCTTGTATCTGAAGCTTCCCTCTCTGTATAATACATACTGTTTAATTTTTAAGGTAGCATAGGGAGAGAAATTTGAAGATTGCACATACTATAGGCTTTTAATACAAAGGATGGGCCTGTGAGACATTTTTTAAATAATTACAGATTCATAAGTAGTCAAGATGTTAAGCTAAAGGAGCAATGTGTACTATATTGCCAAAAGTATTGGGAAGGCGGCCTCTACATGCAAATGAACTTTAATGGCATCCCAGTCTTAGTCCATAAGGTTCAATATTGAGTTGGCCCACCCTTTGCAGCTATAACAGCTTCAACTCTTCTGGGAAGGCTGTCCACAAGGTTTAGGAGTGTGTCTATGGAAATGTTTGACCATTCTTCCAGAAGCAGATTTGTGAGGTCAGGCACTGATGTCGAACCAGAAGGCCTGGCTCGCAGTCTCCGCTCTAATTCATCCCAAAGGTGTTCTATTGGGTTGAAGTCAGGACTCTGTGCAGGCCAGTCACGTTCCTCCACCATAAACTCATTCATCCATGTCTTTATGGGCCATGCTTTGTGCACTGGTGTGCAGTCATGTTGGAACAGGAAGGGGCCATCCCCAAACTGTTCCCACAAAGTTGGGAACATGAAATTGTCCAAAATGTCTTGGCATGCTGACTCCTTAAGAGTTCCCTTCACTGGAACTAAGGGGCCAAGCCCAACCCCTGAAAAACAACCGCACACCATAATCCCCCTCCACCAAACTCTACACTTGTCAAAATGCAGTCAGGCAAGTACTGTTCTCCCTTCAACTGCCAAACCCAGACACATTCATCAAATTTCCGGACAGAGAAGCGTGATTTGTCACTTCAGAGAACACATCTCCACTGCTCTAGAGTCCAGTGGCGGTGTGCTGTATACCACTACATCCAATGCTTTGCATTGCACCGAGTGATGTAAGACTTGGATGCAGCTGCTGGGCCATGGAAACCCATTCCATGAAGCTCGCTACGCACTATTGTTGTGCTAATCTGAAGGCCACATGAAGTTTTGAGGTCTTTAGCTATTGACTCTGCAGACAGCTGGCGACTCCTGTGCACTGTGCGCTTCAGCATGCGCTGACCCCACTCTGTCATTTTATGAGGCCTACCATTTAGTGGCTGAGTTGTTGTTGTTCCCAGCTGCTTCCACTTTGTTGTAATACCACTATCAGTTGATATTGGAATATTTAGTAGCAAGGAAATTTCATGAATGGACTTATTGCACAGGTGACAAACTATCACGGTACCACGCTTGAATTCGCTGAACTCCTGAGAGCGACCCATTCTTTCACAAATGTTTGTAGACGCAGAACACATCCAATGATTTGAAGGGGTGTCCCAATACTTTTGGCAATATAGTTTAGCTTGGGTTTTACTATTAGAGCTAAGAACTGGTGGCAAATAAAAATATTTTTTTGGCAGGCATTGGCTAATCCACGTGCTTGGAAAGGTTTTTATGGAGTGCCATTTTAAAGTGAAATGGCAGCCAAACTTTATTTTGTGAGTAGAGAGATGTAGGGTTGGATCTAGATCTGTATTCCCTTAAGCTGACCATACATGTTACAGTCATGTTGTTCAATCTATTTGAAATTTATTTTAGATAGACGAAAACCATGTAATGTGAAGACCTGCTTAATCAGCGCATCCAATCAGGCCAACCCTTGCACTGCAAAACTGTTGATAAATTTGAGATTGGTAGATCTAAAGATACTACAATACGAATGTAATATGTATAGAGAAGTTTAGAGAGAGTTTCCTCTATGTGAAATTTTTAAAACAGAACAGCAGTAAATGTATTATGGAGGTTCTAACCTTTCCCAACTCTGCTAAAAATAGTGTCATTTTATATCGCTCCCCATTGGCCCATTGGAGAGATTTTACTGGGAATGTGACTGTGGCCACTAAGACAGGGGGGTTGATTCACTAAAACTGGAGAGTGCAAAATCTGGTGCAGCTGTGTATAGTAGCCAATCAGCTTCTAACTTCAGCTTGTTCAATTAAACATTGACAAATAAATCCTGGGAGCTGATTGGTTCCTGTGCAGAGCTGCACCAGATTTTGCACTCTCCAGTTTTAGTAAATCACCCCTAAATAGTGGGGCGCAGTCCCCTACAGGAGACCCAAACTTCAAAAAAAAACCTGAAAGAAGCTCAAACCTTTCCACTCTAACTATAGGTATATCAAAATTAGTTTTGTCTGGAGTTCCATTTCCCATAATATGTTGTGATATGTACCTATTATTAGAGATGTATCTCTCCAGTGTTCTGTATTCTGCAGTAACCTCAGAGGGCATCCTGGGTTTCCAGTGATGTCACATCCCTTTAGAACAGAATAATTTACAGCCAGGGAAACCAGTTGGGATTTTCTTCTGCTTCATGGACCTTGAAGCAGTAAATCCTGATACCTCCCAGGTATATATTTTTTCTTGGTGTCCATGCAGGTGATAAACCATGATTTATAAGTTGAGTCCACTTACTTTTTCAAGGTGTCCCATGTGTATTGTTCATGTTATATTAAGCCCAGTGTGGAGATGGTTAATATTGGTTCAGTATAAGGCACCAATCCTTATTTACTGCTGATGTCCTTTACAATCAAAGACAACCAAATAAAAGGACTTTCTTTGTGAACAAAGAAAGGCAAACAACATGTACCATTACAGCACAATAAAAATATATCCATTTAAACCACACATAGATATAGTCACTGAGAATTTATAATAATATTTTAAATTGTACTACGTTTAATTACCTGTAATCTTTTTTTTTATTTCATTCCCATTCACTCCTGCATGATAGCTAAAATTTAAATTAGTCTGACAACGGCAGTATTTTATACACTCTTTCCTTCCCTCCACCCACTGTCCTAAAATGAGGAATAAACCCTTTCGTTTTAGGATTTGTAACAGTGATTATTTAAAGCAGTGCTCTCCCACACCCTCTCTCTTATAAACTATTAGCCTCCTCTGTGTATATAAACGGACATATAAGCATAACCTCTAATGTGTAAACCTAATATCAATATATTGTATATCACACCAATGTGAAAATCTTCACATGTGTATATAACAAATATTAAATAATAAATATTAAGCAAAGAAAAATATCCCACATTAATCAAAAAATGAATAATGTACTAATACAAAATAGACCAAAAAGCAAAAATATATAAGTAAAAAATGCACCCAACCAATGTCTTTACATAATAAAAAAAAAAAGTCCATGTGTAAATTGAAATTGAAGAGAAGATTTTTCATCCATATAATGGTTCTTCAATTCGTGTGTAATTTAAACATCAGCACACTGTGCTGATCCACCACCCAAACGAATTGAATAAACTCACCAGAGCTCCAGGCTGGTCAAATAAAAAAACAGCTAACACACAGTGGCACTGGGAGCAACAATCTGCAGCAATATCTCTGACTCCTACTTGACTGATCAATCCTCATGAAAATGGATGGAATTACATAAGAAGAAAGGAAGAGGTAAAAGTGTAAAACCGTAAATAGCTTTATTATTGCCTTCGGCTCCTGGAGGACATCAGATACCGAAACGCGTAGGACAGGGATTTGGAAGTGATGTCACCATGTAGCACGGGTGAGCTGTAGGCGTTTGTGGTTACCGGAGTTCACCCGCTTGCATATACACATGCTGTTTATACCACTGTCGGTGTAGACACTGCAGATTGTGAGTGAAATTAAATTTTTTTTAATGGAATAAAGCTATTTACAGTTTTACACTATGGAGTTTCCTCTTCCTTTCTTCTTATGTAATTCCATCCATTTTCATGAGAATTGACCAGTTGAGTACGAGTCTGAGATATTGCTGCAGATCGTTGCTCCCAGAGCCACCGTGTGTTAGCTGGTTTATGATTTGACCAACCTGGAGCTCTGGTGAGTTTATGCAATTTGTTTGGGTGGTGGATCAGCATGGTGGTGGTGGTGTTTAAATTACACATGAACCATTATATGGATGAAAAATATTCTCTTTCAGTTTCACTTTATACATGGACTTTTTTTTTGATTATGTAAAGACATTGGATGGGTGCATTTTTTATTTAATTTTTTTTTTTTTTGCTTTATGGTCTATTTTATATTAGTAAATTATTCATTTTTTGTTTAATGTGGGATTTTTTTTGCTTAATATTTTTTATTATATACACATGTGAAGATTTTCATATTGGTGAGATATACAATATATTGATATTAGGTTTACACATTAGAGGTTATGCTTATATGTCCGTTATATACACAGATGAGGCTAATAGTTTATAGCAAAGATGATGTGGAGGAGTGCTGCTTTAAATAATCACTGTTACATGTCTTTAGATGTCAAAGAACAGACGGCAGCTCCTCCTCTTTCACGGTGTGAGTTTGTTTAGTTTAGTTTAGTTTTTGTGTTTTTTTTAATACGCAACATATATCCAGTGGTGCTGTCTATTAGAGTACAATTTTAGGATTTGTGATTGAAGTGAGACATGTATTCCTTCTGTTTTTAAATTGGATCTGAATTTAAAAAAATTATAGATTTGCTATCTAATCATCTAGAAATGTTAATTGTGCCTGAGCAGTATATGCAGTATTTTTCTTTTATCTTGAATTCCTCTTGAAAAATAGTAGTGTACTTCCTGACATGTTACTGTGCCTAGGTCTCATAACTGTATATCTGCAACTGTATATCTGCCATGTGAGATCTAAGGCACTGATTCCTTTGACTGCTAGTCTCAAGAGATTTGGAGTAAGATTTGTTGATGTAGCTACTGTACTGCTCACTGTTTTCTATGTTGGAGCTGAATCCGTAACTGGGGAGCTGTACTGTAAGGATCTCCCTGCTTCTGCATGCATCCTGTAGATCTGTGCATCCTGTACCTCTCCTACTGCTTCTTGATCCTTGCCCAGATCAAATCACAGTCATCAGACCACGTTCAGCTAAATTTATGTTGATTTTTTTCCCATTTTGATATCTTTTTGACTTCTCAATCTACCAAATCTTAGTGGTTGACCAAACACATGGGTGGTGGATTGCTTGGTTCCTGTTGATTTCTTTTGATAGTATTTGCATTTCCCGGTGACCTGAAAGTGGTTGAAATTGTTTTATTTTATAGCCTTTGTCTGTTTTTATTCACTATACGTGACACTATCAGAGTGATATTCTCAACATTGTATAGTTTATAGATGCACTACATCTTTAAAGATTTAAAGACTGTAAACTTTTGAATGTTGCAGAGCTTTACATTTTTTAATTAAAGTAATATATATGTCATACTTATCTGCTCGGTTTTTGTACAGAGTGATCCCAAAGCTCATCATCTGGGATCCCCCACGGCATGGCTCCTCCCCCCCTGCTGAGTGCCCTCATAGCTAGCTGCTTCCTAGGAGGGTGCTTGTGCGTACTTGATCCTGAGCAGGGCTGTTTGCATCTATTTGGATACACAGCCCGATTCTGCACCGCTCCCGGCTCTCTTCTTGCAGGTTTTGACTGACAGCAGCAGGAGCCCCCCCCCCCCCCCCCTGCTGAGTGCCCTCATAGATAGCTTCCTCCCCCTGCTGAGTGCCCTCATAGCTATCTGCTTCCTATGCGGGCGCTTGTGTGTACTTGATCCCGAGAAGGGCTGTTTGCACCTATTTGGACACTCCGCCTGACTCAGCCCCGCCCCTGCTCTCTTCTCGCAGGTTTTGACTGACAGCAGCAGGAGCCAATGACTCCCACTGCTCTCAGCCAAGCCTGTAAGAGCGCTGGATCGAGATCAGGCTCAGGTAAGTATGGGGGGGTGGAGGCTGCAGGGGAGCTATTATAAAAAAAAATTTTTTGCCTTAATGCAGAGAATGCCCTGAGGTAAAAAAAAAAACCTTTTATCTGTATAACTTTAACTTGCAATTACTAGATGTTGCTCTGGCTGTTTTTTAAAAAACAAAGATTGTTCAATAAGTTTGATAGTGTGTGGTCGGATCCAGTGGGTTACAGTCTATTATATACTAGCACCAAAACCATACTAAGCCAGCTTCCTCCCCCTAGCTCAAAAATATACTATACATTACCATAAAGAATTTAGTGCAGAATTATGTGATCTTAGCATAGCACAGTGAAAAAAAAGATTTAATGAAGTACAAGTATGGAAAATATCTAATATTACCCACTAAATGCACTGTGCAATTACTGTCCACCATACATTTAATGAGTATATTCTGAGCATAGTTTAGTTATATAGTGAATCATTCTGTGCTGTCTGTAAAATCTTCATTTCCTCTCCTTTAGAGCAAATAGGGTTAAAGCATTTACATATTCAATAATCCAATTAAGTGAACTGCCTATTGATTCTTTTT